ACAAGAAGATATCAACCGAAAGTCAAGGTTCGGTTCACAAAAAGATAACAACCGAAAGCAGAAGTTCGGTTCTGAAAAGGATATCAACCAGAACCAAAGGTTCGGTTCCAAAGGTGGCTCCAACCGAACGCAAAGGTTCGGTTCTGAAGACAAAAGAGTACAAAACTCTAAGGTCGGTCCCTCCAATGATCAAAAACAAAAGGGTCACCTAGAGTCTCCTTCTAAGTCTAATTCTTCTCATTCTTCTAATTCTTCTTCACCCTCTGTTTCATATCGATCTCGTTCTAAATCTCATTCATCAACTGAGCAAAAGTGGAAGCAGAAGGTCAATAAATCCACACCAGAGACCGAATCTAACACTACTAATCTTAACAAAATAAAAGTGTACACCATTAAAAGGAAAGATAAAACAACTCTCGTAAAAAGAACTTATCTTGTTGATATCTCTCTCATTGCTCCTGTTTCCATGCAAAGCTCACGTGGACCCAAGAAACTTTGGGTTCCTAAATCTGTCTAAATTTTGCAGGTTATAAGTGACGAGCAGTTCGACGAAGAATGGTACATTGATAGTGGCTGCTCACGTCACATGACAGGGAGGAAAGAGAGCTTAGGGAGTACAGATCGCTTGCAAATGGTGGCAACGTCAAGTTCGGAAACAATTCTTTCGGCACCATAAAGGGATACGGGATGATAACCAATGGGGACTTCTCTATAAGGAAGGTGGCTTATGTGGAAGGACTCCAACACAACCTCATTAGTGTATCTCAACTGGTTGGAGGTACAGGTCTCAAAGTCTCATTCGATGATGAAGGTTCAGAAATTATAGAGAAAAAGTCAAATAAAATAATTCTCAAGTCAGAGCGAAAGGGTGAAATGTTTCCCTTAAACATGAAACCCATCAAAGGAAACCCAGCTGTATGCTTATTGTCAAAAGCGCAATCCGACGAAAGCTGGTTGTGGCACCGAAGATTATCTCATCTTAACTTCAAAGATATCAATCGTCTTGTTACAGGAGGTCATGTAAGGGGCCTTCCATTACTCAAGTTCGACAGGGATCATCTATGTGCTGCATGCGAAATGGGAAAGCAGAGTCGTCAAAGTCATCCATCTATATCAACACAAAAGTTGTTGAACCACTCGAATTAATTCATATTGATTTGTGTGGTCCTTCATCTATCGAAAGCATCGGTGGTAGCAAGTACATTCTTGTTATCGTTGATGACTTTTCTCGATTTACATGGGTGTTCTTTCTAAAGCTCAAATCTGAAGCGACTCAAAAGCTGAAAATGTTTATTAAGCAAATTGAAGTACAGCTCAAGAAGGTTGTTCGCAACATCAGAAGCGACAATGGTCTCGAATTCAAGAACAGGGAGTTTGAAGAGTTTCTTGCAGAGAAGGGAATTAGTCATAATTTCTCAGCTCCCTACACACCACAACAGAACGGAATAGTCGAAAGACGAAACCGATCCTTGTGTGAAGCTGCCCGAACTATGCTAAGTTTCGCTTCTTTACCTCTTTATTTTTGGGCTGATGCTATTTCTGCTGCTTGTTTTACACAGAACAGGTCATATCTCAACAAAAGGTTCGCACTCACCCCATATGAGATATTGAACAACAGGAAGCCAAATGTGAAATTTTTCCATGTGTTCGGCTCAAGGTGTTTCATCTTCAACTCTAAAGAACACCGCAACAAGTTTGATGTCAAAGCCGACGAAGGAATATTTCTGGGTTACTCTCTCACATCCAAGGCATACAGGGTCCTAAACAAGCGTTCAAGAAAAATTGAAGAGACGTATTATGTGACCTTTGACGACAACTATGTCAAGAAGCTGCAGGCTAAAGAAAATATCACTGGGGAAATCTTTCCTCCAAATGGCATGGTTACAGTCTCGGTTGCTAATCTATTCGAGACATTTCTGGAGCTCTTTGACGAACCAGAGAATGCTTCACTTTCTGAAGCTGGTGCAGCAGATAACAAAGTTGATCACATGGAGCAGATTGTTGAAGATGCTGCAAGGAGAATGTATGAAGAAGAATCAATCTGTAACGACTCTCCTTCCAACGAAGCTCAAATCGAGGGGGAGCCAAGTGCTCAAGTCGAGGGGGAGCCATGTACTCAAGTCGAGGGGGAGCCAAACGCTCAAGTCCAGGGGGAGCCAAATTCCACAACTTCAACCGAAGAGGTCTCAACACCAGCAAGCTCAGGCCCACTAGAATCACACGAACCTCATATCTTCCAAAGTACACCAACTGAGGTAGAACATGATGATGTGACACTCGGTTATGATAGCCAATCTGAGCTAGACGAAATAATCAATGCTGAATTAGACCCAACCGTTGATCCAAATTACCCTCCTCTTATCAAATGGACCAGAGATCATCCTGTCTCTCAAGTAGTTGGGGATGTATCTGAAAAGGTTCTGACCCGATCCAACTGAAGGCAAAACAAACTTCCTTATTTTCAAAGGTAGAGTTTTGCATGTTCAATTCATTCGTATCAAAAGTTGAACCAAAGACAGTTAACACTGCTCTCGATCACTCTGATTGGGTTCAAGCAATGCAAGACGAGTTGAACGAATTTGAAAGGAACAAAGTCTGGCGCCTAATTCCAACTCCTCCAGATGCTTCGGTTGTTGGTCTCAAATGGGTTTTTAGGAACAAAATGGACAAGGAAGGTAATGTTATACGGAACAAGGCTCGTCTGGTGGTAAAGGGATATTGTCAGGAGGAAGGGATAGACTACGAAGAGACTTTCGCTCCAGTAGCTCGGCTAGAATCTGTTAGAATATTTCTGGCTTATGCTGCTCACAAGAACTTTGAAGTTTTCCAAATGGACGTCAAGTGTGCATTTCTCAATGGAGAACTTGAAGAGACGGTGTACGTAGAGCAACCTCCTGGATTCGTGAACGAAAAGCATCCAAATCATTGCTATATTCTGGATAAAGCTGTGTACGGCCTTAAACAAGCTCCGAGAGCCTGGTATGAAACGCTTACAAAATTTTTAAAGATGTCTAAATTCAAACAAGGTTCGGTTGACCCAACCTTCTTTCGCAAAAAGGAAGGTAACCACCTTATGATAGTTCAAATTTATGTCGATGATATCATCTTTGGCTCCACGAATCCAAGCTTAACGGCTGAATTCAGAAAGCTGATGGAGACTAAGTTTGAAATGAGCTCAATGGGTCCAATTAACTTTTTCCTTGGTTTAAACATAAGACAGGGACCCGAAGGCATCTTTATTAATCAGGAAGCTTACACGAAGACTCTCCTAGCAAAGTTCGGTATGATGGGAGACTCAAAAGTCAAAGTCCCAATGGCATTCGGCACTAAGCTTACCCCATCTCTAGACAAACCAGCTGTTGATATCACGCTCTATCGTCAAATGATTGGATCGTTAATGTATCTTACTGCTAGCAGACCTGATATCATGTTTTCTGTGTGTTATTGTGCTCGATTTCAGGCAAACCCTCGTGAACCTCACATGCTTGCAGTGAAGAACATCCTACGATATCTCAAGCGAACCACCTCCTTAGGTCTATGGTATCCATCCAACTCAGGCTTCTTCGTTCAAGCCTATTCTGATGCTGACCTTGGAGGATGTGGACTCGACCGAAAAAGCACGACTGGTGGATGTCAATTTCTTGACGGGAAGTTAGTCAGCTGGCAATCTAAGAAACAGACATGCGTGTCGCTATCCACAGCCGAAGCAGAATACATTGCAGCTGCATCATGACATCACAAGTGATTTGGATTCAAAGCCAACTTCGAGACTATGGACTCAATATGAAGAAGATCCCACTATATTGCGACTCCGAAAGTGCAATTAGGATCTGTCATAACCCAGTGCAGCACTCCAAAACCAAGCACATAGCACTAAGGTATCACTTCATCAAAGATCACGTGGAAGATGGAAACGTCGAAGTTCACTTCGTAAGAACCACTGATCAACTGGCTGACGTCTTTACAAAAGCTCTTCCTGAAGCATCATTCAATAAAATATTGCAAGGACTTGGTATGATGGAATCTGAATCAGTACCAAACTTAAAGATAACAACCGAACGTTAGGGTTCGTCTCAACTATCTAACCCACTCTTTTTTCAAAGATAGTTTCTCAATGTTGTGTATTGGCTGTACAATTCTGTTTTTACTAAAAAAAAAAAAAAAAAAAAAAAAAAAAAAAAAAAAAAAAAAAAACTCTTAACTGACACCAACCAAAGGTTCAGGTTCGGTTTTTCAAAATTTTCTAGAACCGAAACCAACCGAAGGTTCGGTTCGGTTTTTCAAAATTTTCTAGAACCGAAACCAACCGAAGGTTCGGGTTCGGTTTTTCAAACTTTTGTACAACCGAAACCAACCGAAGGTTCGGGTTCGGTTTTTCAAAATTTTGTAGAACCGAAACCAACCGAACGTTCGGGTTCGGTTTTTCAAAACTTTTTCAACGAAACCAATCGTAGGTTCGCGTTCGGTTTACCTCAAAAATTCCAAATTTTTTTTTATGTTTTATTTGTTTATGTGGTTACACTTTATGGACTTCCTACTTGTCCCTAGAAGCATGCTGTTGTATGTCTCAAGCCTCATAAGATTTTGAATAAAGGCTTCATGACCTGGTATACACAAACCTTGTCTTCCAACAAGGCCACTTCATTTATTCTAATCGTGAGCTACCTCATTCTTTTTCTCACATGAGTTAAGAACTTCCTGCTTGTCTTCTTTTTGCAGTAGAGGTACTTTTGTTATCTTACACCATCTCCTATTACTTCTCCACTACACTCATTCCATCATGGTAACCCTTGAGACTCTCAGCACTTACACTGAGGTTTATGGTTGCACAACATCTGTGTTTATGATCTTAGTTTTATGACACTACGAACTAAGTGAAACCCAAAATTCAACACCTAAGGAATTGACGGTGAACGATTATATTGTTCAAGCTTTTACTAACGAATTGACGAAAGTACATTTTATGTG